TCCGATTCTCTCCCCCATCCCACCGCAGGGGAGTAAGCAAGTGGCTGTGTGGTGTTTAGATGCTGGCTGGGGTTAAACCACAACAGAGCTCATTCAGCTGCAGGACCAAACCAGAGTCCCAAGCATATACTTTCTTAAACTTGCCTTACTGACTAGAATAAGCAATCATTGCTCAGTCTTCTGTATATTCTTCATGCTCCTTGAACTGACTCCGAAAGATTCCTCCACACCTTGCAGTGGTGTTTCCACAGCTCTCCATCATATCAGAATGATAAGAATAGGCCGAGGAGCACAATGTCGACTAGCTATGCTGATTTATGAAACAGCTTTCTGTAAACCCTCCAAGACAAACCCATAGATCAGATCAATCAGTCCTTGTACCACCACATTCTGGAACATCACCGGTGCTGTCCTAGCAAAACTTTTTCAATTCTAGCAATTACAAGCAAGACAAATGTCAGTAAATTTGTCACATAAGAGATGCAAAAATGACTCAAGAACCATAAACAACTTGAAGCTTAAACTGTTACAGAGCAGTTTACAGTGTAAAGTTAGCAGCTAACTCTATTTTATATTAGCATTTCATTTTCGCTGTTTCAGTTTTAAGTTGCTTGTATGCTTATATTAACCATATATTACCTTCAGCTGTGGTGAAAGTATTTCCTTTTCTCTCATTGATTCCGTAATATCTGGAAACATTCCACGATACCGCAGATAAGCCATGAAACTAGCATCTAGATGGTCTGATGTTTGTAGCTCCTGCTTTAGTTTAGCTGCCAAATTTGAGCTGGTATCTGAAGAAAGAGACAGCCCCCAGCCCCCACAAGTGTTACAAAGATGAACAGAACTTGAAACCAGCATAACCACTTGCAAAATAACTATGATTTCTTCTGCTAGTATGAATGCAGGGTCAGCTGAAGTTAGTTGGTTGAGATCTCAACCAACTTAAACAAGTAAAAAGGTTTTAAGTTGCCTTTAGCACCAGAGAAAGTGTTGTAGTTAAGTCAGGACTCACTAAAACCCCATGCCTTCTTTTCAGTATATAAAGATGAAAAGGTAAAAGCAGACTTCCACTAGCACAAATATACAAGTCTTTCTAAACAAAGAATCACCTGAGAAAGGCATAGCTTTCAAATAAAAAGATCTACAGTAAAAGAAAACGGGAGAAAGAGGAAGTGTTATAATATTTTTATACTGAAGTTAACAAAAGATGAAAGGAATCTACAAACAAAGTTAAACTTACTGCTGCCATATCCATCGCTCATTGCATCGATGGCAGATGCTCTTGATCTTACATCATCTTGTAAATCAGAAGGGGTTAAAGTTAGATTATCAGCTTCTCTCATCTGCTTGGAAATAATTTTTCACGTTAATTTAGTTTTCTGAATCCAGCTGTAGAGTTTTCTGCATTTATAACAACTTTGATACTAGTGCAGATTTTAGCAAAAGCCTACTCGATCATAGTGTTAGAGATGGCAAATACACGATGAATGCAATATTGGTGCACTTTGGAACCCATTCCATCTCTTTTTTTTCTCCCTTTCAATAGTCTTAAGAAACAGACATGTATTTATAATTAATTGCCCTTCAAGAGCAAGGCACAAAAATATACAACCGAAGATTAATTTTCTGAAGTATAGACTTTATCTTCTTGTGAAATGATACAGACATAAATATATAAAATATTTCCATTAAAAAGAAAAATCTCTATTCTCCAATTTTGAAACAGTCTCTTCTAACACTCAAAGACAGATATACTTGTAAGTGGAGAACTGTTACAGTAGATTGAATAGCAAAAAAGTTTTACAGGTTTTAGCTCAATTACTTGCACATGAAGTATTATCACAAATTTATCAATTACTTCCATGTGGCGTCACTGCAGAAGTACCAGGATTTGAAGAGTCCTCTCAACAAATCTTCTGAGAGCATAAGAGCAATACCCATATTTTTATTTATATCACATCAGGAGCATATAGATGTGCAGGACACAAAGCCTGCTGTAAGCAGTTTATTGCTCAATTTTAGGTTTTGGAAGACTGTTTTCAATTATTAGAGGCAGTGGTAAACAGTGTTTTAATACAGGCCAGAATTTGCTCCACTGACAGCGAGAGAGGAACTAACAATCATACGTCCAGAACGTTACTGGACCTACCCCCCTTAGTCTGTAAGTTTCTACTATTTGGAGCCAATGGCCCGTCTTGTTTAATTAGAATGAAATCAGACATGAAATATCACTTACCAAAATCTTCTCCATATCTTGGTCATCATCAACAGAGTAGGTGCTTTCAGAGAAAGCTGGAGATTTTCTACCTACTCCCACTGCTGCTTCCTCACTGCCATTTTCATACAAGTTAGAATATCCCAGCAATACAGAATTATCTTCTCGCATGGATGACCTGGTGTGCAGAATTTCAAAATCTGTGCTTTCAACTTCCGAAAAGGGTGTCAGATGAAGCACTGGCTGAAGTTCCATGCTTGTATCTTGCCTTCTCACCATCTCAGGTGAGCCCCATGAAGCCATACCTGCAATTAAATTCTGGAAGTCTTTTGAAGTGTCTTTGCCTATGTTCAAATTGTGTTTTGGAGAATCAGGGGTTTGATGAATTTCCAACATTTGCTGGCAATGCTTTTTTAAATCTTGCTCCTCTTCGGAGTTGTTGATCACATCTAACTTCTCGGTCAATATCTTTTCTTGTGATTGCTTAATCTGAGTTTTTGGATTTATATTGTAAGTCGTCAAGTCAAACATAACTTCATCTTTTTCCTGCAATAAAATAACATATACTAATTGTTTAATGGAATTTAAATAGATTTTTACAAACTGAAAAACATGCGTTTAAAAAGATCTTCTCAAATTTAATAGTCGTTACTATTATTATTCCCAGGTTTTATGTAAAAGTGATCCGACAGTTTAATATATTTTATATGCCAGCTAACCAGGCTTTTTAACAAGCATATCATCAATTGAAGGGGAAAAAAAAAAGTCTGTACAATACACAAATGTATTTCTGCAGAGCTGACTTTTGTATCAATCAGGAAAAAAGGATATTCCTTGTAGCTGTGTAGATAATCTTCCTACTTTCAAATAAATACAAATTAAAACCTGTTGCTTTCCTAACTGGACAAAACTCCTGAACTATCTTAAGGCTTAATTCCTGACCCAGGGCACCAGGAAAAAATGGTTAAGAAGTCTAGAGACGGTTCCTATGCTGCCATTTCCATGCAGGAGAAACTGTTGACCATCTACTTCTAATCACTGGAGGGAAGAGCAATATAGATTCACATGCCCCATCATGTGAGACACACAGCAGCCATACATAACAATGTGCTTTATCCTAAATTTTGGTAAGGCCATACTCGTACCTTTTAGCGTCCTGTTCCCAAAGGGGTACTCTACCCATTTTTTAATTATTTTTTATTTTTCCAAGCACCAAACAACAGACTTAGGTCTCTGCTGATCAGCAACACTGCAGACCATTTCTCAAACTCTGACTCTGTAAAAACAGATACACTAGGTCAGACCAAAGTCTTTCTACCCAACCACCATCTCTGACAGAGGCCAACAGGGAAACACAGCTAGCATGGACACAACAGGTGTCCATCTTCCTCAGTTGTTGTGATCCTTCTACATAACTAGCTATTTTCCAGCCTGAGGGCTTGGGTATCTGAATGGCCACAGAACCCTTCCAGCATCTTTCCCATAGTGTGAGGGCATGGTCACTGACCAGGCCAAGGCTAGACTTCCACTTTCAAACTGCAGAGACATCTGAATAATGTCAATACTGTGCCACGGAGTATGCAGATACATCCCTGCCTACCTTGCTACAATGGTTCTCATTTAGTCAGCATTTCTATATAAAGAGCTTTCTTCCTTTCCCAAGTCCTCTTGAAGTTATTGTTCTTCTCCTATGACCTTAACGTTCTTCTCAAAAAGCAGTTGTGTCACAGACACAGAGGGAACGCTGCTGTGCAGAGCCACTGCTCCAACAAGTCCCACCGATTGCTCCAGAAGTCAGGAAGTCAAACCTTCTTCCTATCTCTCTGCCTCTAAACCCGTTACTCACTCCACCTGGAGGCCGACATCCAAATGGAACATCTCTGAACTGCATCACGAAAATACCTTTACCCTCATCCTTATAACCTCAGGGATCCAGTGTGGTAGGACTTGCCATCACCAAGTGAACCCTAAGGCTAGTGCCCAACTTGCTGTAATTCCAGGGTTTACTGATGTCATTAATATAGAAACTCCTAAGGGAAAGGTAGGCACAGGCGTTCTCATGGCAAAAGCTGTGCCTCTTCTGTGGCAGAAGGGAGACTCCAGAGCATATACTGAGCATGCCAAGCTGCAGCTTCTCTTCTAATGCCTTCACAACTTACACAGAAGGTCTGGCTGCTTTGCTTCCTCCACTTTTTTCATCTTCAGTGCCCCAGGCACTGAAGCCTCTCAAAGCCCCCTCCCAAGTTGGCCCACCCACTGCTTTAAGAGGGCTCTGTTTTCCCTCCCTGCTGCCTTCCCCCCTCTCGCCTTCTCTCCTCTCTTCAAATGAGGAATTTTTTTGCATTATGTTCACTATTACACAAAGGCTGTTCAATGTTAACAATGTGAACAAAGTCTCATTCACTATTAAGGGTTAAGTAAAGAGCTGCTTAATCTCATGTGGGTTTTCTGTCTTGGTATTCCAAGCAGCAGTCATTTCTCTTCCTCTGAAGATGTTCTGTATAATGGCATTTAACTAATCCATACTAGAACAACAGAAGTACCCAAATATTGTTATTTTTCCCCTTTTCCAGCTCTCAGGCTCATGATCACTATGTTGCTCAGATAGTTGATATTCTAAACCAAATATTGTACTTTTCCTTACACTGGGATGAGCTAGATCCATAGGAAAAGGTCTATCATAATGAATGCTTGAAGACACAGTAGTTTACTTAATTTGACTCAATATATTCTCCAACTTTGATGATCATCCCTCCTCAGCCTACTTTAAAACTTTTAGCACTTAAACATGGAAATACATATACTGACATATATACATGAACTTAAACATTTCAGTATCTAAGTTTCTACTTGAAAAGTGATTTTTAAATCATTTAACTGCCCCCAGAATTCCAGCATACCTTTATATTCTTCAAAATTTTACCAGTTCTCTCTTCACTAAATCCTAACTCTTTTTTTGCTGAACCTAATTCAGAATTAAGTTTTTCTTTATGAGATGCCAGCCTTACAATTAAATTCTTTTCATTCTGTGATGTACTCGTAGCCTTTAACTCTCCCTGCGTTGTGTTCAAAGGAAAAATATTTTTTACGTCAGCCTTTTCCATATTCATATAGATTGTGTATTTTCCATACATTCTCAAATTGTATCTACAGTAACTATGATTTTAAAGTTGTGCATGCACCTCACACTGTATATGTATTTTACATGACAAACAGCATAAATAATGCAGTTGGCTGAAACTCACATGGCATATTCTGGTAATGTAAGCTTGTAACAAATAATCATTATTAAGCTGAGATCAAGCAGCTGTACTCTTATCCTGAACAAGAGAAAGACAGTGTTGCTGCATGTGATTTTCACCAGAAAGCTGATAACTGACCTTCCTGAGTTACTGCTACTACTAAGTGGCTATTACAACTTGAAAGAGATCTATAGAGACAGATAAAAACCACAGCCAGTAAATCTGGTACGTAGTATATTTGGTTATGGCAGTTGTTTATGCTCTTTAAACAGGATTTAACAATCACTATAAGCAACATGGTCCAGTAGACCACTAGACTGAAAGTCAAGTGGCTAAGCTCTGATGCTGCCTTGTATACATACGTTCAATGGTCTGAAGTACGTCATTCTGCATAGGTCATTCAACGCTATTCCCACCTGATCCCTTTTTCTGAGGGATTTCTGAGACAGACCCTGAATGTACAGTATCACCTAGGCAAATGGCACTGATCCAACTAGAACTTCTAAGTAAATAAAGATACAAACACCAGTAATGATCACACATTTTGCATAGCTACACTCTTCATTTCTGCTTAAAAAATAAACAAAAGTCATTTTACATAGTAATTATCCTACCATTTCTTTAAATAAGCAGAGATGGCATTCAAGTATAATTTAGATAGGATACATCCTAAATACATCAGTGTAGCTTGAAGATAACAGATAAAAGCCTAATGAAAACCCATTGTTATTACTGAGTACGTTTTAAAATGAAGAACTGCATCCTATTGTGATTGCTGGGCTATGAAGTGAAATAGCAGAGTGATACAAAACATTCTGTAACATCATGGTAACTCTGCAAGTAGGTTTTTACCATTAGTGACACCAATATTAAAGCTCAGTTATTTTGCCTAACTTTGAAATCCAATAATTCTACCTACAAACCATCATTTCTACCTGGTGCTGAAAAGCTATCTTCCCTTCCCACTACGAAGGGGCAAGTAGTAGAGTATAAGTCAACCACCTTGAACTTTTATACCCACATCATACTGCCAATCAGGACCCCCAAAATCCACATAAACCTGACACCTAACTTTCTTCCTTTCCTATGCACTCAGAAACTCTTTTCATGTAAGTCCTCTTACTAACACTTATCACCTCTGTAAGCCAGCCTTAAAAGCCATTAAGTTGGTACTTGACAGACAACTACAGCTCTCTGAAAAACAGGTCATCTGGGTCCTACTGCTTTGCAAAATTGAGAATTTAATAAAAGTTCACATTAGGTTATCTGGAGCAAATGGTTCTAGAAAGGATTCAGAGTAAATACGACAAAGAGTCACAGTAAAGAAAAGATTTCTAAAAAAATATGATACATGACAAAGTATTTTCAAGTAGTTCTCCAAGACAGCCATAAAGCATGGCAATCATAGTCCTAGCAGCTTGTGGTAGATTGACCCTGGCTGGCTGCCAGATGCCCCCCCAGCCGGTCTCTCACCCTCCCTCCTCAACAGATCTGGGGGAGAAAATAAGATGGAAAGATCTTGTGGGTGGAGATAAAGACAAGGATATCACCTACTAACTACTTTCACAGGCAAAACAGACTTGACTTGGGGAAAATTTGTTTAAATTATTGCCATTAAAAATAGAGTTGGATGGCAAGAAACAAAGATACATACTGAAACAGCCACCCCCCGGCACCTTTTCCCCCCAGGCTCAATTTCACTCCTTCGTTCCAAACTCCTCTACCTCGTCCCCTGCAGTGTGCATATCTGCTTGAGCATGGTCTCTTCCATGGGCTGTTTCTCACACTTCCCGCCGCCGCCCCCCCCCCCATTGGCTGTGCAGCATTTTGCCGTTTCTTAAATGTTTTTGCAGTGGTGCCACGTACATGGTTGACAGGCTCAGCTGTGTCCTGCAGTGAAACCAGCTGCGCCCAGCATGGAGCAGCTCCGGCCTTTTCTCAGAGGCCCCCCTGCAGCTCCCCACTGCCAACACCTTGCCATTCACACCCAATACGTACCTTAGGATCCATGCCTAAAACCACATCCAGATCAGAAAAACTGATTGGATTAGGTTTCAATGCATTCTTGCCCTGTTCTTAGGCCTTCCAGGCATCTACCTCTAGCCACTGCTGAAGAAACTACCCAAAGATAGTTCAACTCTTCAACTGACTCACCACAGCCATTTTTATGCCACACTATTCATCTTCACGCTTTCTTACAGCACTGAAAAGGATAAACTATAGGGCTTTATATGACACATAAAATTATTTTAAAAACCCCAAATAATACTATTAAAAAGCAAATCACATACCAGTTTATCAGTAGGGGAAGCCAGTACTGCAGATGACTGATCAACATTTGCTTCCAGTTCTTCCAATTCCTCCATTCTTTTTTTAAGAGCTTTGTCTTCTCTTTCTCTGCGGCAGAATGCCTTGAGAAGGTTAGTGTCTTCATGATCACGTTGCTCCTTTGGCTTGTACGACTCCAACCGTGAAACAAGTTCACTTCTTTCCAATCGTAAGGCTTCAAGCTCTCTCACATATGCCTCAATTTGATCTTTCAGTTTTGCAGTGCTACCTTGCAGTTCATTGATTTCTCTCTGATAAACTACTTCTTTCTGATTCAGTGCTTGCACCTGCGAATCAAGTCTAGAAACTTCTAACTGAAGACTATAAACATCTTGAGCCTGACTTGCATCTCTCTTTTCCAACTCAGCTTGAAGTTCTGCTGCCTTTTTTGTTAGGTACTGCAACTTGCTTGTATCAGCTTCTCTTCGATCTGCCATTGTCTTTATTTGCATATCTTTCTCTAGAGTATTTGCTTCCTTTTCTCTCACAGTATCTTCAAGTTCTTGAATGCGAGAAGTCGCCATCCTTGCTTCAACCTCTCTTTGAGAAAAATGTGTTTGGAAAAGGCTGTACTCTTCCTGAAGTGCATTGTACTGTATTCTCAGAGAGGTCAGCTCTGCAACGTGCTGCTCTGATGAGTCTCGTAATTTTTGGCATTTTTTCTCCAAAATTTCCACTTCCATTTTGAACTGCAATTCCTTCTCTTCCAGTTGTTGCTGCAGAGCTTCTCTAGCAGTTGAGACAAGCTCTACTTCCTCCTGAAGTTCTCTCACTTTGGAAAGTAGCAATGCATTTCTTCTATTTGGATCAGTATCACCCTGACAATCTACCAGTCCCTTCTTCAACTCATTCTGAAGGTTTTCCACTGGCTTTCCCAAAGCAAGTTGATAGAGATCATCTTGATTGTCGCTAACTTCATGATATACTGGTCCAAATTGTGCCAGCTCTTTTTGAAGCTTCTCAATTACTCCATGGAGTTGCTCTACCTCTTCATCTTTGTCCTTACGCAGCCTTTCCTGGTCACCGCGAAGGTGCTCAACAAGTGATCCGAGTTCTTCAATTTCAGATTTTTGATCTTCTACAACCTGAGCAAAAGGATAAGGTCTGAATATTACTGTATTTAGGCAGAATTACTATTGCACATAGAGTTTAAATCACATTTTTCTTCTGAATCACGCAGGCATTAAACCACACGTTTAACAGCAGGAAGAATTGCGCACTTCAGCTGGTAGCTACTCAGGATAATTCTCTTAGGAAAGTAGAGAGTATCAAATAGATTTCATTTACAATAAGATTCTGTATACCTTGCTTCCCTCAAAATCAAGCAATGAACATATAGTAAGTACTTTTACTTTATTCTCCAGAGTATTCTCTAGCTCTCGCTGGAGCCTCTTCATCTGCTCATTCAAGTGATCAATTTCTTGATTCTTTTCTTTTAGTAGTGCTTGTGGGAATGACAAAGCTGAGGAATCATTAATACCCAGGTCCTGATTTTGCTTCACATGAAGTTTTGTTAGATCCTCCTGATCAGAAAAAAACCCAGCAATCTCATTAGAAATTACTTACTTTCTCTCCCAACCTAATGGCAGAACAGAACTAAGGGCTTTATTTAAACATTCTCCTCCTTACTGTATGTTAAAGAACTCAAGAACACAATTCAGCTGCTTTGTTTAGATTTGTGCCACTGGATTAGATGGGCACAACATTTCTCAACTTTCAAGGTAAGACATGAATGTTCTAGTTGCCAGGACTGACAACCAACCAGTTTTCTAACTCGTAATATTTGCTATGGGTGTAGAGGTCAGGAATGCACACAAAAATGACAACACTGTAGCTCATCTGTCAGGGCTAGAAAAAAGCTAAGCATTTTACTTAAATCAAATGACTGTAGAAGATAATGCCATAAGCATGAATCTAGAGTATCGGGGTTTTTTTGTTCTACGATAGCCAGCATTAGCCTTGTAACAGTAATGCAATATTCCCTTGACAAGAGAAACAAACTAAGTATCTGTTTATAACATCTCGAGATGAAAACCATAACACTCAAGAAAGGAGGTCTCTGGGTGCACACTAAAGCTAAGGAAACCTACCTTCAAGTGTGCATTCTCTAACTGAAGCTGGCTGATGCTGGAAGTGCTAAGGTTTTTTTGCATCTCTAACTTCAAGTTCAGCTGCAATATCTCCTCATTTTTACTGATCAAATTATCCTTATATTGTTCTAGTTGATCTAACAAGCTTGCAATCTAAAAAAAGAAGAAAATGCATAGTTGTTTCAATTAAGTCCTCTTATTTAAGCAGAAAAGATAAAACTTCATTCATCGCCTTATTTACTGAGAGCAAGTAACTTCCCCAAATTCTATTACTTAAACTCTCTCTAATCAGTTTGCATTAATAAAATACTTGAGACATAAAAAGAGAGTAAGAAGCTTGTGTTCCAGCTCCTCAGCTGCGAAACCAAAGTACTGCAAAGGTGGTTTTCCATTTTCTTTAAAAAAAAAAACCCAACACAACAAAAAACCAACAAAAAAACAACTAACTGCTCATAAAAGATAAGTTAATCTATGTTCTGAATAATCAAGCCTTGACAACTGATGTAATTTGATGTAACAATAGGAGAAATGTTAGCATTTGATGTCTAATGTAACTACAAGCAGTTAACAATCACCATTTTCCTCCTCCTAGAAGATAGAAATTAGCACTGCAGTGCTAATCTCAGTAATACAGCAATCAAAAAAGTTCTGAGCATTGACTCCTTCAACCTGTAAAAGTGTCAATAACTACACGTTTCTCTGTTTGTAGCTGTTTGAAAGCTTGAGAGCAAAGAGCTATTTGGAAACACTGTGCTCTTGCCACCCACAGGTTTTATCATCTCTTGCCTTAATGGATAGCAAGGGGCTTTTAGAATGAAAAAGGCTTAGTGGCTCCTGAAGTCAGGCTTCAGAAGAGACATGGAACTTCCACCTGTAAGAAATTAGTTTTTATTATCTTACTGCTCGTGAAAAAATGGTGTACAATTAACTGGAGGATCACCCACATTTTTCTTCTTCGCACATCCTAAACTGGACTGTATGTTTGTATATTACAGACACTATAATAATTATGTACTATTACATAAACATATGGGGAGTGGGGGTGGGTATGTATCTGTGCGTGTCAACCCAATAAAAGTTCTAAATAACGTGACCAATTACACTGCTTTTCAGCTTAGCTTCACACAAGAACTCATCACTAACGTTCTCTGGCTCACAAAATAGAGAAGGTCAGATGACAACCTTATGGGTAATTGCCCTTTCTGTTCCTAAAGGAATTATCGCTCACTCTCAAAGTCAAACAAAAATGTATCTACCTTCTGTTCTACTTCAACTTTGGAAGGAAAGGAAAATCAGTTTACAACAGATATTGATCAATCAGTCTCAAAGTTGATGTGAATCATTACAAGACAGTTTCCAATGGATGGGGAGATGGACAGACAGGGGGATGACAAAACAGAACAAAGCAAGAAAAAGGAAGGTTAGTTAACACCAAAGCATAGAGAATACTGGATAAGAAGGCACATTTACTACAACATTAGTCACTGGGTTTTTGAATGGCTTAAATTCCCAGTTACAAGCTTGCACAAAATGTTTCTGCAATTACGTGAGTGACTCAGAAGTCTACAGCACCCTACCAAAACTCTTACCTCTCTCTCTTTCGTCTGAAGTGCTTCCTGCTCTGCCTGTAACTGCTCCTTCAGCACTGGGGCAGAACTGCCGTCAGCTGGTACTCTGTGCCTCGCTTCATCTAATTTAGACTGTAGGGCAGAGATCTGAATCAGGTTATTGTACTGTTGCTGTTGCAATGCCTCTTTATCCTGCAAAATTTTTTTTTTTTGTTAGAATTAATTGTTGTCAATATACATACCCACCTAACCAGAACAATCCTGCCAAAATACTCCACCATCCCTGACAAACCCCAGTACAAGAAGAAAAGTACATAATCCCAATGGCCTATAAAGAAACAGGAATTCAAAACAACTGAATGTTTTTAGCTCACTTAAGTTTTTACCCCTTTATTTTTTTCTAACCCACGTTTAACAACTTCTGAAAATTTAGCATTCAGTGATATATTGTACTTGCTCAATTACACAGCGTTTTATATATTTAATAACCTAAACATCTAGTTCTTGTAGCCATTTCCAAATTTATTACGATACCATATACTTGCCAAGCTAGATTTAAAACGTGGAGACTTAATTTAATTTAACAGATGGAGGGTTTTGGGTAGATCAAAAACCTACCACAAATACATCATGTTAAGCCAGAATGTGAAGCACCAGCACTAAGTTTCTGTCAGATCCGTGGTCTGTCAAGCTACCATAGTTTTATTTATTTATTTTAAAAACTTCTACTTTGGTCTGCTTTCTCTCACAGTCCTTCTCAGGAGCTGGGTCAGTCCAAGCAGGAAAGCTTCACTTGGGAAGTCGTCCAAACAGCAGGGCATACATATCTGTACTTAATACAATAAAGGAAAGCTGGGCAAGAAATGTAAAGCAGTAACTGCCTCTGCTGCTTATCTGCCCATAGCTCAATACACATACCTCTAACAGAAGGGTTCTTTTAGACTCGGCACGTGATTTGCCAAAAAAATATTTAAAATTTTAAATCTAATCAAAAAGAACTAAGATCCAGAGTACATGGATAGCATCTTCTGATCTTAAAATGAAAGAAGCATCAATTAAAAAATAAAAAATAAATTACAAAGTTAATGCTGTATCCCAGCATTAAAACAGCATGCCAAGAACAAAGAACAGGTGTTTAAAACAGTTCATATCCATACAAATAGGCCGTCAGATTTCCACCCACTAGCCCCCAGCCAGTCCCCACTGGCTTTCTGGCCAGCTCTGGGGGCAGTCCAGGCATACACAGCACACAAGAGGAAAGGAAGTTATAGGAGAGATAGCCAGTTAGGGTACAAAATGTACATGTGTCATTCACATCTAATATCACTAGCAGGATAAAAACCAAATGTAATAATTATGACAGCATCATCTGCACTTTTTTGGGTAGGAAAGCACCTATCACAGAAATATTTTTGTTTGTCCTGAAGGGAAAAATGAAAACTCTTTGTGCCATCACAAGAAACCTATGACGTTAACCAGCCCCTCAGGTGTCCTGCTGCCGTGAAAGGACACATGTAACAACAAAACCCAAGCAACAACAGAGCCTTTTTTTGTTTTACATCAACTAAAAATAAGACCTTATCTGCACCATTTTAAAGCTTATCTTGATCACTGACAAAAAACCTCCAGTAACAATGTGCAAATCCAGATTCCTGCAGAACTGGGCTGCCTTACCTCAGATGTTCCTGCATTTACTGTACAGCAAAGCTGCAAGTGTGCCATAGCTCATGGTGTCAGCACGGCTCTGCACACCAAAGTTAAGTTTCTCCTAGCTTTCTTCAGCTGCTATGTTCTGAAGTTGCTACAGTGACCCAGCAAAAACAAGTGGCAACCCAGGCAAAAATCAGAGCTTTATGTAATGCACCTTCACTGTAAAGCCTTCTTCTGGATGCCCACGCAGATGTAGTCTAATGTGGTATCTTCTTTCACTGATACCAAAATCCACAGGATAGCAGACTCCCTAAATGAGCCCTATTTTCAAGACCTCAAGCCAAAGGATGAGCAATCCTCCCAGCACAACCCTAACCAGAAGCATCAATGTTACATATCAACAACCTGAACAACTGAAAGGAATTGGACCAGGAAAAAACAAAGACCTGCTCCATGCACATGACTGCAGGATAAATGGATCTGCTAGCTGTGAGTTTAGTCAGTATTCTTCTCAAAAAGATACCATTCCATATTCAAAATTACTCTTTCCAGACCTATTTCTTATTAGCGCTAGTCTCCATTATCTGCAATACCTACATTTTTCATATGTTGGAATTTGGGGGACAATAAAAATCTGTAATTGCCACTCACATCAAGTGTATTTTTACAGAAAAATTTCATGACATGCAATCATTCTTAGAGCTCCGTTAGCACTTATTTACTGCACGAAATTGGTTCAGGACAAGCTATTACAATGTCTACAGTTGGCAAACTGAATAGTATAACCTTGTTTAAAGCTGATGAATTAGTTCCTTGGAAAAAAGAAAAAAAAAGAAGTCTGAATTTGGCTTATTTAGGATTTTTAAGAAAGACCAATTTCCTGGGACATTCAGACAGCTAAAAGAGTATTTTGAATTTGCATGGATAAAGAAAGCCTGTTTTACAGAAAGCTAAGATTTCAGAAACAAGAGCAACTTGCCAACAGCAGTATCACAGTCTCCATCCACTCCAAGGCAAGCCAGACAGAAAGCTAATGGGCACGGCTTTTGTATATTTGGATAAAATCACAGAATAGCTTAAGCTGGGAAGGGTCTCTAGAGCTCTCTGGTCCAACCTCTGACTAAAAGCAGAACCAACTTGGCTCTGGTCAGGGCCTCGGCCAGCCAAATTCTGAACATCTCCAAGTCACAGAGACACCACTGCCACTCTAAGCCCCTTTTTCAACATTTGGCTGCCCCCAGTATGACCTTTTCTCCCTACCATTTAACTGGAATTTCCCTTGTTGCAGTTCATGCTCACATCTTCTCATCCTTTCACTGTGCACCTCCAAGTCTGACTCCACCTTCTCTATGACCTCATATTATGTGGTTGTAGGCAACAATAAGATCTCCACAAAGCTAAACAAACCCTGTTCTCTCAGCCTCCCCTCAAAAATCATTTTCTCCAGCCCCCTGACTATCTTGATGGTCCTTTGCTAGACTTGCTCCAGTACGCCAATGTCTTTCTTGTACATGGGAGTCTAAAACCAAGCAGTTCTCCAGATGCAATCTCGCAAGTGCCAAAAAGATAGGAATAATAGTACCTAATAAACTAAGACTAGCTAGTCTACATCATATTAGCTGAAGTTAAAACAAAAAAATATTTTGTTCAATATTTTTAAAATGAAAAATAATGGAAGCAAATATTTACAGAATTACTAATTAACTAATAAATTTAGTTTAATCATGCTATTCTCAAATCTTCAAACTTGTCAGACACACCAACAATACTTAACCAAGGAAAATTGCTGGGAGAACACTGAAACATTTAGTTTAAAAAGGTAGAAAAGGTTACTCAGATGTTTGGTAAAAGACAAATACTTTTGCTAAATGGAATGTAATTCTTAACTCTAAGCTGTGATTCAATTTGCAGGAGTAACAAAACACTAAAAATTTCGGAGTATGGCAAACAGATCTGGCTCCAGAGGCACATAGCAAGAAGAGCTATCAATTAAGATAATAAGTTTTTAAACACTGTTATTTATTGAAGACTCACAATGTTTAATATTCAGTAACACTATCTTCTCAGGAACTTCCAGAGAAGCAAAAGAGCAGCTCTGATCCATGCAAACATGACAACTGTCAAAAAGCAGTCTCTATAGTAAGTAGGCTTATAGCTTGTAAAACCAGAGTTTGTTTAAAACTCTGGCTGCGATGCCTGCCATTAATACAACAGTTTAACTCCCCACTAGGTGCCAGGGATAGTTTCAAACAACACTAACACAGTCATTGATGACACTGTCTGCATAATGCCACTCCCATTTAAATAAGTATTTAAAAATTACTTGTTTTAATTCGGTTTCCACTTTCTTCATTTTTTGCAGTTGTTGTTCCAAGTAGTATACAGTCTTTGAGACTTCAATACCGCTGTGCTCCAGTTCTCGTATCTGCGCCATGAGTTTTTCTATCTCTTGATCACGAGCTGTAATTTCTTTGTGGTTTTGCTCCTTTTCTAGTAACAGCTTATTGTAATCATCCACCTTCTCTTTTATTTCTGCTTGCAAAGATTCTACCTATACAGAAATCACATTAAACAGATATTCAGGCAATATAACAAACTTCCAATTGGAAGCAAGAGCAATTTCATGGCAAAGCAGGTGGAGTTTTACTATGGACTAAACTATGCTAAAATCCCAGATGAAAGTAAAACCAGATATGACAGAAAGGATGAAAAAGTAACTTTCTGAAATCTTGTTTTCCAAATGCAGCAGCTCTTAAATACACATTTAATTACTCTCAATATTTGCAGTATTCTAGCAAAGTACTGGACGAAGGCATACTCTCAAGGCCCAGTGGTCATCAAAAGGGGCCTTGTGGTGTGTGGGGCTTTTTTGTTGCGGTTTTTTTTGTTGTTTGTTTAAGATTAAAAAAACCCAAGATTACATGAATTATTACTAATAGCATTAGATGTATTTCTGTAACCTCAGAACCCTCTTCCATTACTTCAAGGAATTCCAGTTTAAAGGAAGATACCAAGAACTGAAAGATAAATATGCAACGTAACATACCCAAAGCCTGCAAATCAGAGAGATTCACAGTAGTCAACATAGAACAGGTACTCTTTTTCCAAAAATTGCTTAAATATGAAGAGGATAACAGTTTTGCATTTGACCTCACTGAGATCCAATCATGCACAAAGCTGCAGGAAAACGGTCACTCATTCATCCCAGTAATTAACATGAAGGCAAGACTAGGAGCTTTGGTGGGTAACAGAGGCAGGAGAGAACCAAGTGTGAGACAGACAGACTACGTCAGAAGTGATAAAAGTCATTAAGTACATTGAAAGCAAGCTCAGATAGGAAAGCAATGGGAAACCTTCTAAAGAAGAAATAACTTGGTCAATACCAATGAGCAAGGAAGATGAGATTTTACAAAATAAATGCTTTGTTCATCAATAAGTGTCTGAATTTATTCAAATTCCACTTCAATATTATAAAACAAAAATTCTTTGCATTAATATAGAACTTTACATCTTCAAAGTATTGTACAGATATTACTAAAGCAGAAAAACACCCTCTAGCAAAATACAGAAGAATAGAGTTAATTTAGTCAAATTAATAAGCATGGAGAGTGTCACAGACTAGTTAAGAATAGCAAAAGTGATTAACATTACATTTTCAACTGCTTATAGGCACATATACATTTCCTTATCCCCTTCTCATCTCATCAGCAATTAATCAACTGCTAAGCATAACACAAGGCCTTACAGAAAAGCTTTTTGATATAGAAGAATCTTTAAGAAATCTAATACTTTCTAATGCTACAAAATTTTGGCATCAGAATCCCAGAAACTATGACTCTTTACACATGAAAAGCGTGTTTTTTAACACCACGTTGCTAGAAGGCTAGTGCTGCAATCCTGTAGCTAAGAAAACACTTTCACAACCTTCACCCTCACGGCATGCTCTCAAGATGGTAGCTCCCAGTACCAGTCAGCACTCTTTTCACAAAATAATCCCACTTACATATACCTTGAGTCTAGATAACAGCAGAGAGAACAACTATGAACTTGTTATAACTCCTACATGCAGAAATTAGAAGTTCACTTGAACTGATTTGTTTCGGAGCGGGTTAAGCAATTACCGATGTTACAGCTGCATTAAACAACTGTACAAGAACTGTCTAAATCCTGACGTTTTATTTTGGCACAGATTGCATGCATACCTCACCCTACCCAAAAATGTCACTTGCTTAGTTACCTTCCTTGTGTGCACCTGTCTCCAATTATCCTTTCTAAGAGAGGTAGCAAAGCTACAGCAGCCAGTCTTAATTTTTTCAGGTATTCCTCTTTACTAAGCCACAAGCACAGTAGTAACTAACTGTCATCCACCTAACATCTTGGATAGAAAGCAAGCTGTGGTCTTAATAGTTTGACATATTTTGAATAACCTGACATATATCCTTTATGATTCTGTATGCCCAAGACTGCCACAGAGGTATACCTTCTGGGTACAAACAGATCTTCAACAATTCATGTGGCCTTCAAAGCAAAAATCTTTGCCACGGTGTAACAAACACATAGGCTACGTGTGTGATGTACTCAGAAAATCTTAATGCCAGATAATGGCATTCATGCAAATGAGAAGCCGAGACTGATGCAGAATTATATGTAATCACTCTACTTTTAGCCTGGAGAAAAGGAGGCTCAAGGGAGACCTTATCACTCTCTACAACTACCTGAAAGGAGGTTGTAAGTGAGGTGAGTATCAGTCTCTTCTCCCAAGTAACAAGCTATAGGACAAGAGGAAATTGCCTCAAGTTGCACCAGGAGATATTAGGAAAAATTTCTTCACCGGAAGGTTTGTCAAGCATTGGAACAGGCTTGACAGGAAAGTCACCATCCCTGGAGGTATTTAAAGGACATGTAGATGCGGTGCTTAGCGACATGGTTTAGTAGTGGACTTGGCACTGCTAGGTTAACGGTTGGACTTGATGGTCTTAGAGGTCTTTTCCAAACTAAACGATTCTATGATTCTATGATTCTACTTCTTAAGAAGCCTAATGAAGTCCTATCAGAGGTTATAGAAGGCAAGTGACAATCAGGTGCCCTCCAGCATGGAAAATTCACTCTATCAAAGATTCAGTTGTTCCTACAAGATTTGCTTCTCTAACACCAAGGTACACAACTTCATAAATTGTACATAAATGAATAGACGGAGCAGGGCCACAAACAAAAGCTGAAGGCTAAGGCACAGTGTATCATCATAATTCCATTATCTTTGTTTCATACTCCAAACCTCAACTTCTCCTTTCATGCCATAAAAGCCCTTTTACAGTAAGTAACTGCCTGTAATACATCTGAGCAATAAGCCAGGAGAATGAAGCACTTATGTACAGGAAATTAAATCGAAAGCGGTTCCTCACTCCCTGCAAGAATCCTGCCACCCTAAAACATGTATCCTTCTCTCCAAGTCAAGCTGAAGCAGCCTTGACATGTCAAGAACAGGAAAAAAGTCAAAGCAGATCTAATTAATAGAAGGGATTGAAAGGAAAAGGAAAGAAAAGTTAGAGAGATGTTCATGCTGTTTTCCATACCTGTAGAATCAATTCATAGTTCTGTATAATGTTCATTTATGTGAAAAAAAAGGGGGAAAAAAAAAAGAAAAAAGCAAAAGTTAATCTTTGAAACTAAGCATCAAACAAATGAACATGTGAAAAAAAGGACTGATTTATAAACTTAAATAGGACAAGGCATGCAGACAAAGAACATCTCTTATTATAACTGTTATAGCAGGAAAAACATGTTCAGAACCCAGAAGTCATCCCTCAGGTGTGCTCTGTAGAGCAGACTGTCTGTATCGTTGTCCTCCTCAGTTAATTTAAACCGGACTCATAGGCTGGAAAACTTTACTGTAATGTACAACATTTCTTTCCATCTCCATAAGAAATAATGTAAGTACACTCTCACTGCCTAAATGTAGTCCAGTCAGCTGGGGGAAAATCTGCTCTCTGGGTGACAACAGAGGAAAAAAAAAAGAGTCTCTCAAGAGCCAGTCCCCCAAGACAATACAGGTTTTGGTATTTAATTGTAGTAAACAAACTCCTTTGGCCGCTAAGTGGGATTTTACTCACCCTATACTCTCTGGGCTCTCCTGAAGTCTGCGATTTTGCTGAAAGTTTTAACTGTTCTTCCAGTTTCTGAATTTCCTGCTAAAAATAATCATCACGGTTCCCTTTCTATAGCTTGTTCCTGTAAACCCAGCCAGAGATAATGAAAATATTTTTTAAGAAACTTTCCATTTCATTAAAATATTGAGTACAAGAAAAATTTCTGGGTTTTTTTTGTGGTGAAGAAATTATGCTCACTTAAAAATAATTAACACGTTTTAGTAGTCCTGAAAGCATAGCTAAAATTACAAGGAAAGGAAAAAAAACCCACCTTGCTTGTTCCTGTAAACCCAGCCAGAGATAATGAAAATATTTTTTAAGAAACTTTCCATTTCATTAAAATATTGAGTACAAGAAAAATTTCTGGGTTTTTTTTGTGGTGAAGAAATTATGCTCACTTAAAAATAATTAACACGTTTTAGTAGTCCTGAAAGCATAGCTAAAATTACAAGGAAAGGAAAAAAAACCCACCTTTTTGACTCCAGTGTTCATACAAACTACAATTAGCAACTAATAAAAAGGAAAGAATTATCTTGAAATGCTACAGAAAGGGAATTTAAAATCTACCTAGAATACCAAGGTCTTAATTTCAAACAAAACAGCAAGTATCCCATTTTAGCAACCATCTTCCAAGTCTCAGTCACAAACTAGGAGGAGTATTTATCACCTCCAAAACCATGGAAATGTGGTACCAAACTTGCTTACATCCATGAATTGCCGCTGGTTTTTAAGCTGTTTTTCAAGAACTTGAATTTGCTGTTTTAATTCAGCAACCTCCAGTAACTGTGTAGCCAGGTCTTGATTACTATGCAACTGTTCTTCCAGTTCCACCTCCAAAACTTTCATTTGAGAGCGTAAGTTGGAATGGTCCTTTTCTGCCTGACATTGAAGCTCTAATTTCTCCTTTGCTAAAAATTCTACTTCCTTGAGTAGACCTGAATAAGAACACAAAAATAACAACAAAGTTGTCAGTGCAGGGTACAAAAATCAAATTGAGTTTAAGATGAGATTAAATTCAGGTACTTTGGACAGCATCAAAATCAAAGAAAAAAATCTCCTGAGATGGTCTGTAAGAGACACAAAAGGAAGTCTAATACTTGATTGCCCATTGTGTCTCTGAAAGCCATCTCTGTTAAGACTTCCGCACAATGTAGTAAAGGAAGACATGGGCATCTTTCTCAATCCCAAAGTAAATCCTGGTTGGAGATATTCTGGGCACATAGAAAGCTTTCACCTTCACCCCTGGAGACCTCACAATTCCAGAGAGACCCATCTCACCTTCCCTCCTTCAGTCCTTGCCCTCTAAACCCCGGTTTCACACTCCTGCCCCAGAGGCTCTTTCCAAACCACACCAGATCCTCAATCCTCCAAATTCACTCCATTCCAGAGGCTCCACCCCTAAGTTTAAGCCCCATACCCCATTTTCAGCCACCTAGTCTTTCATACCCATCCTTCCAAGTGCCTCATCCTCCACTATTCTATCCTAAATCCTTGCCACCCCTTCCACCCCAACTTCCCACCCTACTTCAAATCTCTTCCCAATCAAGCCATCCAATACTGAATTCTCAATTCCTCCAAACTGTCATGCCGAGATCCTCCTTAGACCTCCAACAACCAGTCTCAGGTCAGCCTCTCAATTACTCCTCTGCCTCATGCCATGCTGCATACCGCTGCTGATGCCTACACTGTTGAGTTAGCAGCCAGTCCATCTTTTCAGTGGACACCAGTGCCAGCCCTACCCTGAAGCTAGCTGCTATAAGAAAGCAAAGTTAATCTTTCTCTCTGAACCTGAGTGGGGATTAAAATCCAGAGAAAAATCACACTTACAGAAAATTAGTCCAGTTCTGAGGCTACAAAGGGAAGAAACACCTGGAAAAAAGATGGCATATATTTGCCCTATACAGACTGCAAAAGAAATACCACAACTATGAAAGCAACATAGTTCAAGATTATATAAGTTATCAAGAGCTAATTTATACCTACAACTGCATTTTCAATCAGTTGGATGCACTGAATACACTGTTTAGGAGACCCAAACTGAGAGTCTACTGTGAATGCACTTGGAGCAAAACTATTTTAGTGTGAATACAGCTAAAAAGTAACCTGAACACAAAAATACAAGTCTGGCTATTTAGTATTTAAAGCAAGGTCCTGCAAGAGCTCATTATTTTACTTTTCAAATGTTCCATTATTAACCTTAAGTGTTTTCAGTCATGGAGAAAAAGGTAAGTCTATGATTCCAACAAGGACCTTAACTGGACATCCAGCCCAGTTCCCAGAATGGGACAATTCCCTTTTCCAAGCATGATCAACTCAATCCACAGGATTTCTGACCTAACATTTTTTTAAGTTGCTGTTAAAAACCTTTGAAAACAAAAGTGATACCACAGCTTCCTCGCAACATCTTTTCTAGTGCTTCACTGTCCACAGGTATTTAATTAAAGAAAGAAAATAAGCCAGGAAACATGAACATTTCTATATTCATACTTAAGAGGATAAGCATCACAAGCTTAGAATGATGCAATAGCGTTTACATTAAACATTGGGGAAAGTGTCGCTGCAGTAACGATAATGGAACAGAGTGTGCAGGGACTGTGAAGTCTCTGTCTCTGGAAATTAAAGAGGCTGGACAAAGAGAAACAAGTAAAGTAGATTCTGTTTTGGGACAAAAATATGGACAAAATGAGCTCTCGAGGTCCACAGTAACCTGTGATTCCATGATTTAGTCACCCTGGTCTCTTACTGTAGCAACTATACTTTCTCCACAACATTAAAGACAATATTAAAATATGCAAGATAAAACGAAGAGGTTAATTGAGCAAAAGAAAACGTAGCAGATATGGAACTGTACCAGATTCTTTAACTGTTTATCAGATTTGCTAAGCGCCCATGGTAGCTTTTGAAACTAACTGAAATGGACACAAAATTGCTTATCAGTCACTTGAATTCTTCAAGATGTACAGCATACATGTATATTGCCAATGTGAGAGCATGACACACACCAGCTGAAGCAAAAAAAACCCCCAACATTTTGTTTTGCAGTCACTCTAGACCATGTCTTAAGAGCCCTGCCCTCCCTTACACATGGGTACACTGGCACTGGGCTTCTCCTGCCATTTTAAGTTTGCAAATAAATACAAATCACAGGATTAATAAAAGGACTTTGAGGAACTGCTGGAGATCTACACACAGACTACATATCTCAGAAAGCTACAGTCCTGGTAAGTACTTTCTGGCTTTGAGTGATAAGCCACAACTACATTCCAACTACATTTCACTCCAAGCAGTAATTTTGCAAACTCACAATTACCAAGAGCGGTATCTCAGATGCCTACATAATAACAACAACTGTGCCACGCTCCCTACTTTTTCCAGCACAGTGCTAAATAATCACATGAACTAAGCTTCAAGTTTTCTAATCAGGTGTTTGTTGAGTTGTGGATGTAACTCAGGCTCTGGCAGAATGCACGCAGGTAAATGAAAAGTCTCCCCCAAAGCAATTTCTCTCACAACCTGCTTGGAGCTGTAATAGCCTCCTGCCATCACGAGACGTAACACAGCAAACTACTCAAGGCTGAAACACACAGTCCAGAGAAAAAGCCAACAACAGTCTGAATTCCATTAGAAGACTGAATCCCAGCCATAGCTGCACAACAGAAAATACGTTTTACCAAATGCCATATTTTGCCAGGCAGGAGATAGGAATAAAATAGCAGTCTACTGTATTGGCTTACACATGGTGCATAGAGTAGGGCAAGGTATAGTGTGTACAGATACACATGCACCCATAGGGCACGTACGTAGACTGACCCCCTGAGAAAAGAACCGACACTTTTGTGAAAACAAGTACAGGAATTTTTCCTTCTAAGAAACATGGTCATTAACGAGCTGATGGCTTCTTTTTAGCTTCAAAAGGAACACTATTGCTTTCTGAGGAACAAAATACTGATTAGATAAAACTATTGTTGTTGTTTTTAAAGCACACATTCCCCAAGTGTATAAATATAACTTCAAGCAACATGAATAGATCATCAGATCACAGGTTTGTTTCTTTGTAGGGACAAACCTGCTACTTATTAATGCTAATTCAAGTCATGCAATTCCACTTTGGTAATGCTCCGGCACGCTCCTCCCCACTCCCAAGATCATCATTAGCAAATGCCAAGCTCCATTCTAAGTGCATTTTATTAGCGAGGCCATTCTACTCATATTAGTACTCCACATCAAAAAAGGCAGGAGGCATCAGCTTTTCAAAGAATAAGCCATGTCAATCAACTCCAAACAATATGATTTTTATTTATCATATTTTCCACGTACTACAAACAATTCCAAACCAGAGGAAGAGTACTACAGATGGCTAGGGCGGGGGAAAGGGGATGAATTTTAGGGCTCAGCGCTTGCAGCAAATGCAACTGTTGAAGTTCTAATGAGCTGCTGGCAAGAGCTGGACTGCAGCTACCAGGAGAACATCAATCCCCAAATACACTCTAACCACCTAGGTTAGACATTCGCTCTCATTGAGTGGACTGCAGCAAATTTCAGGCCAGTGAGGTGATTACCAAAAATACGTTAAATAAACATAGCGTTTTAGGGAGATCTGAATGGATGGAAGGAATAAAGATACAGTAATGGGCAAGACAGCCCAATGCAGCTTTTTAACTCTAACTGGATTTTACCTAGATAATTCTTTTTTATTCACCTGAGTGACTTGGTTTACCCAGCTCACACCTTTTGGGGAAAAAGAAGTCATCTGGAAACAAGAGACAGTGAATATGCAAGAGAACACTTCTACGAATATATACGTGTGTAAAATACAATTAATCTAAAAATGTGATAAGAGAATTATATTTTGAGTAGACCACAAAACATAATCATGGCAGCTATGAATTTATCAGATGTAAATGTTTGCTACTCAGGAGTTAAGTATGCACACTTTAGTTTAGTTTGGGGGAGTGGGGTGGGGGAATATGCTTCTTTCAATTTGGCACCTACAAATTTTACTTCAGCATTAGACTTCCAAAGTCAGTGTAAAACTCTACGAATCCTTCTTGCTTGTTTTCAGTTTAATCTTTCCTCCCATAACTAGCCTTTCTTAGCATTCCGCTCTCCTCTTCTTTTTTCTGACCTACCTATCCATTCAATTACATTTCTCTAGTCTCCCTTAGACTTCCTTCAGTTCTTGCTGTATTTTTTTTAACTCTCCATTTTACATCACCTCAAATATTTTTTTCTTTTTTTTCCCCCTTTAAATTAATTTAATCATTTTAACAGCCCACTGTGTATCACTAGAAGCTCACAGCAAGCTTACAACACACTCCATCCCCTCAAAAGAAAAATGAAGCTGGCAAACACAAAAATAATGGCACAATGTATTTTAAGCTTAACAGCAGCAAAACATTTTTTTCCTTTAAAAATTAATCAGTGAATTGAATATTCTTAGTTTTAGCTGTTTTCTGTTGCATCACAGAAGTTGTAACTTTTTTTGCCAAGATATTCATAATCCCAGTAATTTCTTGGGCCTGTTTGTGAAGTACTATTCCTCTTTGTTAAAATAAAATCAAAACTATCAATTCATTCACTCAGTGTTACAGCAACACAAACCAGAAAAAACCCACACTCATCATTACAAACCTGAACCTTCTTTTTGTACTACATTAGCAAGAGGTGTTCCTAGAAATCAAAACACAAAGACATGTACAAGACAAGAATAGGACATTGTGATCCATTCCATCTTATAAATCACTAGAAATTCATATGCAATACAGATAGTGCCTACCTTTTTTGACAAAAATGCACTTCATCTTTATTACGACACAAAGCTCCTGATGACATATGTTGATCCATGTCTGTAATTGGACTAGAGCTACTATAGAAATGGTTTTACATTATAACTATGCAAGTTTGTTGCAACATTCTTGGGTACCCATTTATGTATTTTCTAAGACAATCAATATTCTCTTTTCGCAATTTTCCCCAAACAGATGGAATAATTAATGCCTCAAACCCCTCTTTTAGTTCCTGCCAGGGGATTCAAAGCAGGATTCAGTCCAGCGGGACTCACTGGCACAGACTTACAGCCTCTGTAATCTGTTATACATCTCCATGACACACACACGTACTTGTGTTCAACAATATCATGGAATTATTTTGCGTTTCCTGTGGGACATATTACTCAAAGCCATAATCACTGTTGTAAAGCAAGCACAACATGCATTTAGTTTCAGTTGTAGCCCCTGAATCTGTTTATGTTCTGCTGTCTTCCCCCTGAGGAAGAGAGGTTTTCCCCCACCTCTTCCTCTGCTTACTGAGGCAAACAAGTGTAGGCTGTGTAAGCCAGGACAATCTGCATGAAACCACTATTCAGTTTCCTCTTAAGGTAATAGTAAGATATTATTAAGACGTCATATGAGAGGTCAGAGATGAACACAACTTCTAATACTAACGTATGTACTATATTTTTTAATAGGGCCTGTAGCAACAGGACAAGGGGTAATGGTTTTAAACTAAAGAGTGTAGATTCAGACTAGATATAAGGGACAAATTTTTTACGATGAGGGTGGTGAAACACTGGAACAGGTTGCCCAGAGAGGTGGTAGATGCCCATCCCTGGAAAAATTCAAGGTCAGATTGGACGGGGCTTTAAGCAACTTGATGTAGTTGCTGGTGAAAGGGCTGGAAGGAATGTCTTATGAGGAGCGGCTAAGGACCCCGGGTTTGTCTAGTTGGAGAAGAGAAGGCTGACGAGCGACCTCATTGCTCTCTACAGCTTCCTGAGGAGGGGAAGTGGAGAGGGAGGTGCTGATCTCTTCTCCTTGGTATCCAGTAACAGGACATGTGGGAATGGTTCAAAGCTGTGCCAGGGGAGGTTTAGACTGGACATTAGGAAGCATTTCTTTACCAAGAAGAGGGTCAAACACTGGAACAGGCTTCCTAGAGAGGTGGTCAATGCCCCAAGCCTGCCAGTGTTTGAGCGGCATTTGGACAATGCCCTTAGTAACATGCTTTAACTTTTGGTCAGCCCTGAAAAAGTCAGGCAGTTGGAGTAGATGATTGTTGTAGGTCCCTTCCTACCGAAAGATTCTATTCTATTCCAGTTGAAGATATCCCTACTCATTGCAGGAGGGCTGGACTAGATGACCTTTAAAGGTTCCTTCCAACCCAAACCATTCTATGATTGTATGTACAACATGAATATTTTGATCGCACTATATTTGAAAGGTTGAGTGCAGAGCCAAAAGGAAGAACACAGAACGATGGTGGCCCACAAGAGCAGGACAATGGTAGAGTCAAAAGTCAGAGGAGAGGTGACAAGCAGCAAGGTGAAAAGAAGAAGAGAAGATGAGGTGGGGGAGAGGCGAGAGGCAGACAAGAGCTGCAGAGGAATGATACAGTAGGGTTGAAAGCCAGGCAGGAGTCTACAACAGAGGCTCCTGGGAAGTGGACAGATAATTGCAACATACAGACTGTGTCGAATCAAACTCGCCCCTCCTATAGCATGTCAGTCAATAACCTGAAACCTAGAGTCTTTACATTCCTCTACTGATAATGGAGAAATTCACTAGAAAACTGTTTCTTGCTGTCTTTATTTCTGACCTAAGCATGCACTAGGTACAACTACCTGTTACGTAGTCTGCTCAGCAGTAAAGATCTATGCAACATGGCTTAAGGTGGCATCATGGTGACATAGCTGAGGGTAGCGTAATGTTGGCATTAGCAGAAATGGAAAGGCAGTGATCCCAAATGATAAATTTCTACTGGAAGATGATACAGAGAAATTCACATATAGAAGTATTAGAATGACATTAAGAATGCAAAATCAAGAAGTCAAAACTACATAATGCTATTGAAATGATTCACAGATTTGTCATTAAGAATGAGTTCCTGCATAGTGCAAGTCACATAACATCTCTGAATTTTCTTCTGTGAATCAAAAAAATACCTTACATGTAAGCCAGCTATATTATACTAAGATTCTTCAGGGTCTTTATTAAATCACTGCTGTCACTGTTAAAGTGTGTGCTCCTTCATTTGCAGTGTGAGTTATCACAGCACCAACTTCCACCCATTGAGTATTATTAGACTCCATCCAGTATGTTGAAGAGTTCCCCTTTATCCTGCTCCACTTCCCTACAATTACATCATATCACATGCTCTGTGGGGCTGAGGGAATGACAGAGCGGGGGAAGGAGTTATGTAGACTGCTTATTTGCACCTACTTATCTGAGTTTGATTTGGTATTTCAGTGGCTGTCTTTGGCTTGCAGTGAGTCACCCTTTATATAAAAGTTCAAGATACTTGCCTCACCTTATCCTCTCCAGCAACACTACCTCATTCAGCTTTTTCAACCCATGTACTTTCCTTTAAAAACCTAAACAGACTTTGAGCTTGATCATTGAGATCTTTCCACAGTCACCCTTACTGATCATGTGTGTGTGTTTTGACAGGACAAGGCAGGGGAGCAGGGGAAAAGCTTGTGTATGAAACTAAATACACATAATCACCACAACTTTTTCATAATTCAAATAATCTTCCAGGAGTATTTTATTTCTTCCATCATTATTAAGCTATCTCCTTAGCCCTGGAAGCAGTCAAAAGCCTTGAAGCTCCAACTCCTCTCTTTGACTGCAGTGTCAAATAACCACGATTTCAGTTACTAAGTAGGTGCTAATTATCTGTTGCAACTAACTACCTGTAGTTAATACATGCCTCTTATTTTCTCAGACGCTTCCCATTTCTAACTAAGCATAAGACTGCAGCAGTACTCTTCACTAACAGTACTATCTTCTTATAAGGAAAGAACCAGCTGCTTTATTTTATTTTATGCTTTTACAGGAAGACGCTGCTAACCTCTGTACCAGACTAAGCTGCTCACTGGATCATCAAACCAAAGACTGAAACACGTTGCAGCGTGCCCTGACTCGAGACAATTTCATTTTCCACTAATAGTGTCATACCCACTCCTCACCAAGAATTGCTTGCTCCTGGGTTAGCTCCTGGAAGCGTTCACGCATATTCTCCAGCTCCACAACAAGGCGACGCTCAGATTCCTCTTTCAGATTCAAGGCCTCTTCCAATGCAGCTTTTTCTGCAACATAGCCTTCAATAATGCCTAAAATCCCAAGTCAGAATGCAAATAAAGCAGTAGACAAACTCATCTATTGGAAAAAAATCAGCTTGAAAACATAAGTAAACAATTTTATGCAAGCAATGGAAGGTGACATAGAAAGGAAGACGTGCAAGATGACTTAAAATTACACTGTAGGCTTTTTTAAGTATCTTAAGGAATAAAATGTACCAGTTAATGTATTCTAACAGATTTTATGAGGCTGCCATGTCACAAAATGTCTCCAAACATGTGGAATGTATATGGGGATTGTTAAGCCTTGATGGCCTGGGACCACCTCACAACATAGTGTTGGGATAAATATTATGAGTGCAACT